GGCCGACTGCCACTGCTGCTGCCGCCAACCCCCCGCCACGTCCCATCCCAACTGCCTCCAGTGCTGCACTCATTAGTGGCCTAACTGGCCTTGCCCCCTGAGCCTGCGTCTTCATTTCCTCCATACTCATATCCATCCCTCTCTGGTTTTAGAAACACGCTCATTTTCTTACTTTAGAGAGTATGACTTGTACATGACTCCTCTTTTTTCCCCAGAGGGTTTGACTTTTTGTTTCTCTTCTGTCTTGCTCACCTCACATTCCCTTTCATCTCGCTCTCTCTCTTCCGCTCCCTAGCCATCAGTTGTCAAGTTGTCACTGTCACACTGTTACACATGTGGCCCCAAAATGACACCATTCTGCTACGCCACACCAGTCAAGTCATACAAATTACCCATGAGGCCAAGGGGCACACATCTCCCCATTAATTGTTTGCATATGGCCACTGGAGTGATGCTTGCAGACCACCTTGCTCAAATGTGTGTGTGTGTGTGTGTGGTGAGAGGGGCTAACACGACAGGTGGGCCTTCATCAGAGTACTGGCAGCTGTGACTGTGGCAGGTTTGTAATGGGTTCCGTGTGTGCGTGTGTGTGTGTGTGTCATGTGTGGTCACAATTTGTCCGTTGAGGCAAAAACTGTGTGTTTGTCTAAGTGTGTGTGTGTTTGCTCAGGCCTGGCACTGGTTGAACTGCTTAACTAACTGGGAGGGGAGCAGGTGACGACTACACTGAGGGAATGAACCAAGATTGCAAAAACGGCCCGATTAAAAATCTGAGAAATGGAAAAGTGGGAGAATCCAAACTCATATCGTTTCCAACTGTCACTCTGGTTATATCTGCCCCATAGGTGTATTCATAAATAGACACGCGCAGGAGAGGGATGGGACAGAAAAAGAAGATGAGAAGGCGAGCGAGAGGCCAGTTGCTTGGCCAATTAACTGTGTTGGAAAGCATTCGAACAGAAAACTTTAGCCACTTCATGAGCATTTGCACTCATCACTTACGCTATATTGCCAATGTTAAAAGCCTGTATTAATCTGTGAGAAACATTCAAAGCCACTAAAGCCCATCTTTAAAATATAATATAATAAATTTAATATTTACAAAAAAAACAAAACAGTCTGTTTTAGTTTGGTTGAACATCTGTAGCACTGGTCATACGTGATTATTTCAAACCCCCTGTAATAACCCTGATATATATTTACTATTTAAGATATTTACTTATCTAAATGTAGACAAGAGATGAGAAATTTATCCTGATGCATACTGTAAATATGTGGCCTTAACTAATTCTTTGTCATGTGAGTTTCTATGTAGCTTGGAGCTACAGAATAAGTGGGATGCCTCATCGCTGTCAGTTAGTGTGGTGGAGTTGTGGTTTAACTGGCTGTTTAAAGCAGTAACACAAAACCACATACAGTACAACCAACCATCATCAAAGTGTGAGTATGTATGTTGTTCTTACCTCTCCCCCATTCACATACTCCATGACAAAACAAAGGCGGTCTTTAGTCTGGAATGAATACTTCAATGACTGAAACAACAAAACACACACACACACACACACACAGTGACCAACATAATACCACTTAGTGAACAGTTTCAGTCTCTAATTATCCCACAGTGTCATGGAAAAAATAGTGTACAAGTGACTGTGATTAATCAGGCACCAAGTACCGTGATGCACATCTTCATCCTTTATTTTTGTAAGTAGCCAGACATAACCAGTTGCACTGAGGGCTGACCTGATTATGTAGTCACCTTCTACAGTAAATGCACTGTACAATGAACACTGAGGTGAATATGTGAACAATTCTGTACACACTGAGAAGTCTGGTCCCATTCTAGCTAAAACAGCGGAAGCAACAAAACATCATCATTCATGGTTTCTAAATGTGTATATTTGCTTATCCAAGGCCAATATGTGTGTGTGTGTGTGTGTGTTTTCTTTTGAGGGAGAAAGCTGCTGTACAAAGGAACAGTTGGTTGGAGTCTCTTTGTGGCTGCAGGTGTGATGGGGTAAAAACTCACATGTGCACTAAAATTGTTCTCAAGACTGTGTGTAAGTTTATACTGTATATATGGGGGTGTGTGTCTCTAGTAAGTGTGATACTAATGAGCAGCAGCCAATGTGTGTAAGTGTACATCAAAAACAGTGTAAAGCTGTGGCCATTAATGTACAATTTCCTGTCTGACTCATAATTAGCCTCGAGAGAGAGAGAGAGAGAGAGAGAGAGAGAGAGAGAGAGAGAGAGAGAGAGAGAGAGAGAGAGAGAGAGTGTGTGTGTGTGTGTACAACATGCACTCTTACAGACTTATACATCTGCACATGCACATACAGGTACAGTGGCTTCAGAAGCCATTCATACCCCTTTTTGCTCACTTTGTATTGTAGAATAAATTTTAAGTACTGGAGATAAATGTGCCATTCTCCTCTTCAGTCTACATTCAATGCCTCATAATGACAAAGTGAAAACATATTTTGTACAGTTTTGCAATTTTAGTAGAAATAAAAAAAGTGAAATCTCTCATTTACAAAAGTATTCAGACCCAGTGCTGTCAGTGTGACACTCCAAACTGTGCTCAGGTGCATCCTTTTTTGCTTTAATTATTCTTGAGATGTGTCTAGAACTTCACTGGAGTAAGTAGACATACAGAAGTTTAGAAAGGAATGCACCTGTGTAAACAATGTAAGGTTGCACCTTGCAATAAAATTTTGGGCCAAGATATAGTTTTTCTAGGATTTTTGATTTTTAATATCTTACATTTGTAAAAACATGTCATTATGGCGTATTGACTGTAGATTAAAGGGCAAAAATTGCCATTTTTTCCCCATTTACAATTAAATCTACAACCCAAAGTGAAAGGGTCTAGGGTACTCTCAGAAGCCACTGTATGTCTGATTTTAAACAAGCTGTGTTTTGTGTATATCAGGTACTTACAGTGAGAAAGGGGTGTCTGGTGTTTTTCAGTACTCTGCTCTCTGTGAGTGTGTGGGCCACCTCATCCTGTACAGACATGATACGTAGAAACTTTTTAAATCAAACAGCTAAATAAGAAGGCAGCTGAAGAGCACTGTGAGAAATGTTACACCAGACACTGACCTCTGACACTGTATTCAAAACAACCACAAAAATCATCACCTAGATGTACTGTACAGTAGTCCATTTAAAATACAGTGTAAAAGATACAGTATGAACACTGATCAGTAGATGAACAGTCTCTACCAGACTAACCTTGGCTATGATAACTTCTTTTTTAAGGATTTTCATGGCGTAATATTTTCCGCTGGCCTTTTCTCGGACAAGAATCACTTTGCCAAAGGTTCCTTTTCCCAGCAGCTTCAGGTAGTCGAAGTCACTCATTGTCTGGAGGAGGGGAAACAGAGGAACTTAAATCAAATTTAAATCAACAAGATTAGTAATCTAACCAGATATTTGATACCAGCCTTTTCCACTGTGCCTGATCAGTTTTGACACTGATAATTACTAGAAAGGTAATTCCTACGTTTTGATACCTCGTCCTATAGTGGCAGAGCCTAAACCTGGGCATCTTTGTTTACCGTTTCCCTGTTGGTCTCCAAAAGTTTATTGTATGCATATTTTATACTGACAGCTACTTGCCAGAATGCCATAAAATCCGATAATACTAGTCTCTGGTGGGTGACAGCTAACAACCTTACTGGCATGAAACAACTTCTCCTTTGTTCCATGTCAACATATATACACTGAAGAATCTATTTTTAGTGAGCAGTCAACATATCTGACATAAAACACACTTGGCAAATGCCACAAAACCTTTATAGTGTGGGGAGTAATGAACAGTGGAGCCTGCAGGGGCCTCCAGTGTTATCTTAGATATATTAAGTAAACTCAACAGTCTAATACAACTTTTAGTCATGTAGCCTTTACCTTTGATACCAACTACATTTGGAAATGTTATTCTGCATGACTGCTTTTTCAAAACAGAGCGCAATAATTTGGGAAAACCAATTTGCACCCTTGTTGCTAGAGGGGCTATTTCATCGGATGATACTAACCAGTGACTGAGAGGACAATTTTCAAAATTGCAAGCTGTCAAAGGTAATAACCCATTACACAGCAATGAATAGCAATAGTACAGCTGTAATACTTTCTGTATTTTGAGTATAGAGTGTGTGTGTTTGTATGTCTGTTGTGGTGTGTTACCTTGCGTTTGTGGTGTGTGGTGGAGATGTCCATCTCCTCCTCGACCATGTTGTCGATGTTGGAGGTGGGGCTGCACTGGATCCGTTCCTCCTCTTGTCTCTGCAGCTTGTCAGCCACCATCTGGATGGCCTCTGTCCACTCATCTCTGGGTGTAGAGCATACAAGATCAGGTTTAGGCTTTGTATCCCAACCACTGCTTCTGGCACACTGTTGAACTGGATGGAAATGACTGAGACATGCTCCTTTAGTTCCACTGCATGAAATCCAGTGCACTTCCATTTTGGAGAGGTCATGTCTAGGGATGCAACCATTAGTCATTTCTATAATTATAAATTAATTTGCTAGTATGTCTATAGCTGATTAATCATTTTACTAACTTTACAAAACATTACTAACTTTACAAAACACGTGCTTCTGCTGTAAATGTGATGACCTGATTATTTGTTTTTGTTCATATGTGATAATAAACTGCATCATCGAGGTTTGGACTGGCGGTCAAATGAACCAAGCAATCTGAATATGTTGTCTTGTGATCAGGGGAAACTGTAACTGGCATTTTTACACAAATTTCTGATATCTTATGGACAAAATCAGAAAAATAATTGGCAGATCAATCAATACGTCAAGTCCTTTGCAGCCCTAGGCATGCCATTTCTGATAATCTCAACAAAAATGGAAGTTATTCAAAGGGCTATCACAGTAGATAGCATGATACTGTACAGCTGTTCCTGTTTAGTTTTGGCTCAACTTGAAATGCTTAATTGATTAAACAGCATAATACATACACAGTACCAATACAGTACACAGTAAATAATATTGTTGCAGTTTCTCCAGTAGCATGGCTAGTGCACTTATTTAACCAGGTTTTTAAAGGAGCTTAACTGTTTTCAATTAACAAAAACACCTATTTGTTCAACAGAGAGGAAACACGGTCAGCTAGAGAATCAACCAAATGAGCAATGATCATGGAGCAGAACTAATGCCTGCCAGTCTGTGCATCGGTGAATGTGTGCACAGGAGGGTGAGTGAGTGTGTACACAAACGCACCCCCATGCATTAGAGGAAACAATGCATAGTTGTTTGCTAACATTGTTCCTCCCCATTGAGTTTTCATTAGCGGTGTTGTTCAACATCTGTTGAGAGGAAATATGTGAGTTAGATTTTTTTTTGTGTGTGTGTGCAGCTGAAGGCCAACCATGCATGAAGATGTGTAGACACGTTAACTGTATTTAACGATGATGAATATAGCCTAATGGTTTATACACAGGGCCAATCTTCCCTCTGCTCTGATAAACAAAAGGAGAAGGGAAGAAAAGAAAAAAACTAGAATAATTAAGTCTAAAACATACAATAACTAATTTATTTCTAGGGTTTCATCAGTGCCCTGCAACTGTAATTCATTTATATACTGTAAAAAATACCACTGCTTATTGATAATATTTCAGATTTTAAACATAAAATGAAAATACTGGAAGTTTCCTTATGACTGATCTGGGTTCAGACAGAAATCTTTCCCCACTGATCTTCACTCAAACAGTGTTAATCCTGTGCCACATGCAGGGGTTACATGTTAGCAGAAAACACTAAAGAACCCAAACTGAGGTGAACCAAAGATGATATTCAAATATTCAGAAATCCTCGGGACTCTGGAGAAACAAGTCGGGATTTACGGGTGTGCACTTTCAAATACACTTACTCAGTGTAAGTGCATAATAATGAAACCTGTTTGACTCCCAAATGATCACCCCTATGTCTTTTGTTTTGTTTTGAGTTAGGTGCCCATATGTTTCCATGAGGGATCTGGAAGAACTTCCATCTGAACCTAAACAGAGCAGTGTGTTTTTAACATCTGAATCCCTTTCTACCACAAAGACTTTTGAGCGTACCCTACACACTCAAATGCAAGGGCAAACTATCTACCATCTACGACAATGGGCACCTGTGATGTGTGCGTGCGCGTGTTGCTACATGAAAAGCAATGGGAACTCTCTCAAGGTCAGGAAGCAGATAAATGCTCTCTCTCGGTTAGACTGTTTTTTGTACAGTATAATGAGTTTTTTTGCTTATGAGAGATAATGGGCCTGCCTACAGTCGGGCGCCATGCCAACATGTGCCACCCTCGCTGCTCACGGCTGGGGCTGCGGTAACTGGAGCCCTGCCAGCGCTGGTACAGTACAACTGATACAGTTAACACACACACACACAGAGGTGCAGACACCCAGTTGTGGCACACGCACATTTCTTTCCAACCAACTTTAATCAGGCACACATTTTGTGCACACACACACACACAATTGTACAATAACTAGCATGCACATCTGGAGTTTATAGCCATCCACTTATATATCTGCATATTGTATAAACTTGTCTTTATAAAATAATCAATAGAAAGTCATTATTTTCATATTAACTCAGATTTTTTATTATCTAGAGCCAAAACTGTAAGAAAGCAATATATAACACAGACAAAGTTGGACAGACAGCTGCAACACCCACACACACGTAAAAAAACACACACACAGACTCAAAGGATGCACAGAAGCATCTGTGGTCTTCTGGGCAAAGCTGTTCATTTTCTGGAGATAAACACCTCAGCTCCTCAGAAAGGAACTGAGCAGCTGGAGAATTTATGCCGACGCTACTTGAAAGGTCTCCTTTCCACTCCCTCTCTCTCTCTCGCTCTCTCTCTCCCACCCTCTTGCTTTTCCTGAGCCACATGCAAAACCCACAAACTCCTCATACATACCTCCACCCTTGATACTTTTAGTCTAAAGTCATGGTCATATAAAATCTTATAAGTTTGGCATGTTTATTTGTTTTTCTTTTTTTATTTTAACTGAAATTGTACATGATCTTTTGGTAATGATCTCTTTCATGTACAGTGTGTTTAAAGTTCTTAAGTGGAACTGAAACAGAAATAAGTTAAACAACCTCAGCCCAAGTATGCTTTCGGAATGCCTCCTCTAGCATTTGCTCCTCCTAAAAACTACGCTCCTGTGGGATGCAACTAAACTGCAAACACAGGTAAGTTCTGAAGGGAACTTATTTGATCATTGAATATGTAACATACCAGTGCAGTTTTTTTAAACCACCTCTCCCTTATAGCCTACCTCTTACTGTAGGTCACCATGTCTCCTAGAACATTTGTATGCAACTCCTTTTTTTGAGGGATCGTGTTTGATTGTTGGATTATATTCTGATGCACTGTCTTTTTTTGAAGGAATGAAGCCCTGCATTTCTCTACAGACACAGCAGCCAGTTGTGAGCATTCACAGAGGATAGCGGAGCTCCAAAACACAGTGCTGCTACGTCACTTTAAGTTTTGCTCTCTCTTAACCAAGACTTATAAGAATCGACACAACCATAATAAAACTGCTCAGAGCAAGAAAGACACAGAAACCTTTACCTTAGTGAGGAGATTCATTCTGAAAGCTCTTCTACCATAAAGTGCATATACAGTATATTTATAAGTAGATTCTTTTGTCCTCCTATTCTCTGTCCTACTTGATGGCACAGATTTTCCTGTTTGCACACATTCTCATTTTTAGTCTTTTTGTTGTTGCCTTACAAAACACATTGAGATCCTTTGTACTGAAGTCAAATTCCTTGCACATTTAAACATACCTGACATCCTTGTTGTTCACTGAGAACTAGCCAACTCACTAAGAACTAACTCTTATGGAACTGACCTCTCATCAGGCGAGTCCACATGGAAGGTCCGCTCGATGACGGTGGTCCACTGGAGGCAGCGTATAATGAAGGTGTTTGGCTTTGGCCGCTCCGTCTTCATCAGCTGACATTCTGCACCAGACAGCCAGAGAGGGTATTTTTGTGTTTTTAGTATAATTAAACCAGTATTTCATGTCTTAATAACACACACAAACAGAAGCTAGAAGAGGTAAGAGTTTTTCTAATCGTACTTAGTGAGGTGCTTTCAGTTACTTTGGTTCTCCTCCTGTGGCAACAAGCTGCCTGATAACCTGAGATCAATCACAGCTGCACTGATGTTCAAAACGTCCAAGTGGTTACTTAGAAAGCCTGTGTAGGCTTCGTCTTTTTGTGGGTTAATAGTTTTTCTTCTTTTAGATTTATCACGTTCCTGCCTGCATGCTATTTGTACATTGATATAAAGCACATTGAGTTTACTTGCAAAAATATTTAATAGAAATGTTTTAAAAATCTGTCTTGTTTTTCATTAAATAGATTCACAGTCTTTATACAACAGCCAGGTGTCTGTATGAACACTGAAACGGTTTTGCTTTTGTGTGTTTTCATTCCTCCTCTTCATATTGGCCATGAAGAAATCCCCTCCCAATGTGTGTTAATGTGTGTTCTAATCTACAAAATCCACAGTGCTCATTTTTGGGGGGGAAACTGTTTTGATATTGAACCACTGTGGAAGCATAGTAACAAAAACTTCAAGTTTGAACCAATAACTGTAATTTTGAAAGATATACTTTTGAACTGTCTATCTCAAACAGCTGAAGCCTCACACTAGTCCAAAATGAGGACAGTGTATTTTATCACTTATAGTGCAATCAGAAGGGACAATGCTTGAAAACATGTGAACTTACCCTTTAAGGTAACAATGTAGAATATTGATTTTAAAAGATCTGAGCAAAATCAATTACAGTAAAACCCCTCGCACTATGGCCACACTAGAGCGTTTTTCACCAAAGGCACTTTGACACGTCTCAACAGGAAAATCATAAATCTTGCTAGTGTACATGCTTCCTCACTGTCACAGCTTACTCTAACATCTCAACTGACATTCATTTTATTAGTACCACCTGTGCGTTTCCTGTTGATTTACAAGTTTCCCTTAACATTACCATTAAGAAAACATGCAGCTGGTATTTTAATTTAGTTTTTTTTTTTTTACTTCAGAAATATTTAACTTCAGCAACTGATGACTCAAATGAAGGTGCGTTCCTGTGCCAAGGGATATTATGTGTTGCACCACAAATGCATCTGGCGAATATCCGAAGAGAGACATTTCTGTGAAAATGGGCAATGTGGTAGGCCATTATTAAACAAATGCATAATACAGTACACAAACGCAGAAACGTATGCACACATAGCCAGATGGGGCTGTGAGCTCGCTGTGGGAAGGAATGCATCTTCATTGTCCCTCAGCAGTCTCTGTGGTTACTGGGGAGAAGAGCTGATGTAAAAGACCATAATGATCCATTGTCTGTCATCTCGTCTCCCTCACTTCTTCTTTGTTCTGCATATATCAACCTCCATTTTCCTCTGCTGGTTTCTCCTCCCCTCTGTTCGCTTTTTTGTCTCCTGTCATTTCCTCCTCACATCTCTCCTCCATTTGTTTCCTCTCCTCCTCACACCTCTCACCTCATGTCCTCGGCTATCCCTTCTTCCAGTTACTTTCTGTTTATTAAGTGTGGCACAGCACAGCACAGCACGGCTCAGCCTAAATATAGACAAGAAGGTTAATGGCAACAGCACTCAGGTGGTACACAGACACACAACTGAGTTTCAGTGTAAACTCACTCACAGACAGACACTAAGATGTTACTACCTGACTCGTGAACATGGCCTGCTGTGCTGCCAGAAAACAAGGTCATGCTATGGCTGATGCCGAAAAGCACTCACACTGACACATATACACACACACACACACACACACACACACACACACACGTAAAAGTGATACTAAAGTTTGAATGTTATCTGAAATTGGGTTGTTTGCTACAGCAGGCAACTGTGTTGTGAAATCTGTGTAGCAGTTTAGTAAGTGTTTGTGAGTTTATGCATCAGTGTGTGTGTGTGCGCGCATGTGCACGTGTGCGACTGGCTTCTATGTATGAGTCCCTCTGCAGGGAACAGGCCTGTACCATCTCTGTTCCATCTGACCACTTCTGTTGTTCACAGACACATAAACACACACACACAGGCACACACACAAATAAACAAACACACACACACACGCCACCTGGCCTCCCAGCTTTGGGCAACAGATGTGGCAGTGCCAGTGCTGTGCCAAGCAGCCGGGGCCGGATGTATGGCCTGGCTTGTCCTCCTCACAAACTCTTTTCCTCTCCCCCTTTTTCCTCATTCTCCAATCCTGTCTTCATCTCCTCCTCCCTGTCTGTTCAGTGCTGCCGATCTTCCTCTCCTCCCTCTCACCCATACCTCATCCACAAAAGCCTCACCCTCAATCCTGCCATCCCTCACTCCAGCTCTCATCCACCCTAATCATCCTTCCATCTCTCCCCTCTTTCTTCTTCCTCTCTCCTCCCCACGTCTCCAGTTTTCTCTTCCTCTGCCGCCTCCAATCAACTCCCATCATTCATTCCCGTACTTGTCCTCCCTACTTGTTGTCCCTGCCAGATGCTCATCTTTTTTCCTGAAACTTTGCCCTTTGTGGGTACCATTCTTTATCATTTACACTGAGGTATCCACTTGTATTCTACTGTTCATCATAATTTTCTTCTCTGCTTGTGCCCTCATCTTGCACCTCTTCTCCCGTACGCTCCCCAATCTCTCCGATCAGTTTCATTTCACATTTAACAACTGTAATGCTAAGTGAGCAGACCACATTATTTTCCAGTAACACTGTTTTTTTCCCTGCCCTTCTCTTCTGGTCTTTTGGACAGATGTTCACATTTACATATGAATTTATGTCATTTGTGTATGTTTGTGTATTTGTATGCTGACCTGATCCTAGAAGAGACAGTACTATATACTGCTGCACTAATCACAGTGAAGTCCACTTTTGGGTCTTCAAGGACCACCATTACTACAGACAAATCTAGTCTCAATCAGTATTTATTTCTTCAGTGTAACAATCACTAGTGTCTAGGGGTGTGACGATAGATAGTGATACACCGTATTGGGTTCACGCGAAAGAGATGAGATGATAATTTAACACTATTTTTAAGAAATAGTGCTAACAAGGTAAACAAAAGAGTCTTATTCCCGTGGGCGTCCACGTCTCATGATCATCCCCTGTGCATGAGATTGGTCAACGAAACATCTTTGCTGGATGATGTCACTGTTCGGTGCAGCATGGTTAGGCTGAACATAGCACAGACGGTCACACAGCTTCTGTTAGAAGTTACAAGCTAATGCACAGTTATAAGGTCTGAAGAGACTCATGTGAAATCATACAGGAGAGAAGCCAGTCAGGTTGACCCATCACAACGTGGCTGTATCGTTACACACCAACAACGCTCCCCCTGCAACCACTCACCCACCCACCCGACCAATGCAGCCGGGCTAATGTGAACACATCGTCACACTCTGTCATACCGGCCTCATTCTGTTATGTACAACATTGTGAGACAGCTTTTGTCTCTATGAGAAATATCATCAAGTTTTAATATCGTGAGATCTTGTGGCATGAGATCTTATCAGACCCATACTAGTGTCTGGAGAGAATGAAAACGATTACCTGTACCTCTTTAAGTATGAACACACTGATTTGGAAATCGATTCTAAATAGCATAGAATTCTAATGTTATGTACTGCATAGGCTTGACCAGCATTACTGTCTTTAATGTACTGAGTAATTTAAAAAAAAATTCTTACTATCGTAAAAGCTAAAGTGATGTCCATCCCAAAACCATCTTGTATTTTAAGTTTGTAGTGAATCAGCTCTGTCTGCAAACGCCTGCAAAGCAGACACAAAGTTTTACTGCCAATCTGCATTTATTGTATGAATAATGAGAGGTAATGGTGGCAGTAATGAGACTGAGAGGCATTAAAATTAATCTTGTTAACTCATTAGCTGGTTAATTACACATGTCAGTGACGCTGAGGAGCTTGTTAACCAGGTGCAGACAGATGATATACTGGTAAATGGTTAATTAGAGCCCTTAGTGAATTCTGTAACGCATACCAGCACTGTGAAGACTGATGTCTGACAAGATGTTTTGACACACCACAAGTGGCACTAATGCAAAACCATTACATATCCTTTAACTGGAAGACATGTCACAGTATCATCATTGGTGTTATGCATCAAAGACATACAGTATGTATGCACAGTAAGTGTGGACTGTATTGCTGCTCACTGTATTTACAATGGTAGAGATCAAGGAACAGCAGAATTTAGAGCAAAGTGACAAAGTGCTCTTTTGATATGATAGGCAACATACTTGCTACAGAGAAGTTATTTAGTGGGTAGGGCAGGTCTGCATCCTGAGGTTTCTCTTTGTAGCCAATGAAAGAGCCGTCTGTCTTCAAAAGGAAGTAACGTGGTCGCCAGTTCTTTATGTATTCACCTAAAAAAAAAAAAAAAAGATAGATACAAAGAGAGGCAGAAAAGTTTATGTCAAACCAATCAAACACTTGGTGCAAATAAATGAAATCAGATCATGAAGGCAACAGTGATGATGATGTTGAAGGCAACGTGCACTCAGGGTCATAATGATGATTACTATGATGATATGTGGAGAGTATTAATAGTAATAATGATGATGGTCATGATTTTAAATACAGATTTTATTCCCTAGGCAGATAAGGGTCTGTCCACTCTACTCTCATCTGTCCAATGGTTATCACACACATATATACGCACTGTGATATTCTCTCTCACACACACACACACACACACACAATCTCTGTGACTCCCACACCGCATGCCATATTCAGATCGGATTATCATGTAAAAAATGACAAAAAAACATGTTTACCAGCACAAAACAAACTATCTATGCCAGAAACATCATCTGGTTGATACATGGGCAGGTGTCAAGGTGATGACCCCTTTATCAAACACACACACAAAAACGCACAGCCTAAACACACACATACACACACAAACCACAGGTCACCAGCAACGGGGGAAGAAGAGAAAAAGGATGAGATGAGACAAGATGACATGAGATAAGATTACACATATACAATAACACTTCTTAGACCCCATCAACAAATAACAACATCTGCTAAGCAGCTGGTGGCAGAGTATTACCCAACTGGCTGGCACAGACTGGCGCTAAGGTGGCACCACAGCTTTATCAGATGACCTGCTGCAGGATTACACGAGTGTCAAACATCACAGATGCAGCTAACACTTACTGAAACAGCATGGATACACATGGATTAAAGTACACACGTGTGCAGATTCACACATAGTTGGATGAGGACAATGAGTGCAAATACAGGGACGAAACTCTGCGTACACAGCTGAAGTAGGACTGAGACACACAGCTCTGATGAAAGAAACTGACAGTCTCAACACTTTCCAAAGTCAGGAGCTGTGTAAACATTTTACTTTTTCATTTCAAACTGAAAAAAAAAACCAGGACACAGATGTTCTCCACTTCTCAACCTCTTTTAATTAACCAGCCGTTCCTTTACGTGCACACATACGTTCACACACCTTGTGAATACCAACAGATGAAATGATGTATACTGTATGTGCATGCACACACATGAAGCTCAGTAACAGCTCTGATCACCTGTTTTAAGCTAATTCGCTGGGAGAGGATAGCAGCGTGTATGTGTGTGTGTTCCATTTGTGACATCCATTTAAAGCGGAAATGACAGCAGGCCGTGCTCGTTAACACGTCGCAGAAAAACACCTGCTCCGCCAAAGGGACCATGCGACTGTGGGCCCTGCCGGTACCTCTGGGTGCTGCTGGTGGTGTGTGTGTGTGTGTGTGTGTGTGTGTGTGTGTGTGTGTGGCGGGGGGAGATAGCAGCTGATCTGAACCACCACACAGGGACAGACAGATAAAAAAAAATGCTGCTGGGTGCCAGTGCGTCATCAGGATTATCAAATCACACCTCTCCTTTCCCCTCTCAGTCTCTATTTTTCTCTTTTTCACAAATCCACCCACTCTCCCCTGCTCTCCCATTTCCTTCTCCTGTTCTTTCAGAAACAAAGCATATTCTTTGGATCACTTGCTACTGATAAACAGTGCTGTGTGATGGTGAAAGGCAGAAGAAAGAGGAAGGGAAAAATTATTTTAAAAAAGCAAAGCAAAAAGGGGTTGTAGGTTAAGCAGGTTGTAGATGAGTGGAAAGAGAATATCCCATGAAATCTGACCAAACCAAAGTGGTGTAAGTACGGATGTGTATTTATATGCAAGTATGGATGCACAGCATGTGCTGTTAAAAAGCCTCCAAAGAGAAAACAGTTTTTTTTATCAATTCTACAAACTACTGGTTGAGGTACAATGAAATCAATGTTATGTTTAATTTTATAGGGACTGTGTCAGAAAGGCCACGATCAGCTTTAGGAAAATATCTGAGCCTGTATGGTGAACTTATGTTGTACAGGCATATCTGTTAATTGTATTTAGCTCCTGTAGATTCACATCAGCGCAAACCTGTGTGAGCACTTTGGCTGAAAGGTTTGATAAATTAACAGTTCACAGGTTTATCCTTTCCAGCTGTGAGCACTGAAACTAATGATGGAAGAAAGTGGGCATCTGAAAAAGAGAAACTTCAAACTGGATGGGAGAAAGAGATGTACTGACTCACAAACTGGATGAGGATAAAGAGAGAGTTAAACTGGTAAAACTATTATAAACTGGCAGTTATGACTGGCTTGCTGGTCCAAGTCCAGTCATTTCTCTGAGTCAGTTTTGAGAAGAAGTGTCCAACCAATGGAAGCCTGTGGCTGGCCACTTCATAGCTCAGCTGTCCAGTACAACTGAACACATTTAAGCACTCCTTCTGGCTGGGCCTAGATGGCGTGTATATGTGAAAGTCTGTGTGTTTGTGTGTACATGTCCACTGGGGGGCGGGGAGGGGGCAGCCAGGGGTGGCACAGACGGAGAGAGGAGATGGACAGTTGTCCGCACACGCCATTCCAAATAAACATGTGCACACAGATACGAGCGCACACACACACACACACACACACACACAAACACACAATTCTGTTTTGACCATTCCAATTCTCTGAATGATCCAATGGTGTTCTGTCAAGCTATCCCGTATTGGCCCTGCCTGTAATGAGTCCAGCGAGCTCTCCCACTCTGGACAGCTTGTCTGGGGAGCCACATGTCTCTAGTTTGGATTGCTGGAGAAAACAGAACAGCCGGTCTCCTTCCCACACCATCTCTCACGGACTCCTCTCTTCAGTTTCATTTAGTTTCTTGCACAACTTTACTTTTCCCTTAAGGCCAATTAGTAAATACTACACTACACAGTGCTTAAGACAACAGGAGTCTCTTGTTTCTTGTTAGAATGACAGGATACCGGTAATACAGGAGAACGTGGGTGATCTGAAAGAGCAAATGAACAGAGGATATTTAGCAAGATAAGACAAACCAGTGCTGAATTTGTTCAAAACTGACAAAACAGACTTGTGCAGCAGTTCTAAAGTACTCTCTTCCATTATACTTTTCTAAAATCTTACCATTCCTTTTACTTTTATTAGTAGCAAAGTATTAAACAACATGCTAACTCTGATTTCAAAAGTCTAATAAAAGGTATAAAAATAAGTGTTTCAGCTACAAACAACCACATCCATGGGTAGGATGGAGTAAAGGTGGCAAACCTTCAAGTGCCTGCTTTTTTGTTATGAGCCCCAAAGTAAGGATTAAAAACTAAAACAGACTTTTTAAAAGTTATTTTGGAATTTTCTAGGAGAAATAAATCTTGTTGGCACATCCTCCAGTTGCAGCTTGTGGATTTAGCAGTAAGAGGCAGAGATGAATCAGCTGTGACTGTGTCTGTTCCAAGCTTTCTGATTGGACAATTACAACAACACACTGACTATCTGTCACTCAATTAGCGGACTGATTAACTATTCATTTCAGGGCAGAGGGGGGGAAAGGGGAGAAAATGAAGAGAGAAATGCAGAAATGTAAAACAGGAGACAGGTACAAATGGTAAAACTGAACTTCAGCCAGAAAAACAGAACTGAGTCACATTAACTTGCACAAACTATTCTCTTTCCATCGCTCTGTCACTCACTCCTTCAGGACTCTAGCATACCTCTGCTCTCCTGCTTTACTGGATGCCACGTTCCAGCAAAGAACAAGAGACTAAATGCAGCAAAAACAATTAAATAAATAATTCGTAACTCTGTGAGCTCACCAGCCATTTGTTAATCAACCCAAACAGGGATTTAATTTAATACTTTGGCCGAGGCAGAAGCTGATATGCAGATGGCGCAGAGACGGGGCTGTGCGACTGGCACTCTGGGAACTGGAGGGGTGGCAAGCGATGGTGTACAGAGGTAGGGGGAGGCGGATTGAGAGGGGGGAGGAGGGTTCTGCCACGTTCCAGCACATCACACACAGCAGCTCACCAATAAGGAGAGGAATGTGTTGTCTGGCCACATAACAACACACATACACACTCATATACGCACACATTCAGCGTTCAGAGCAGCAGCTCAGGGGGTTTGGACTGAACAGGAACAGTAACAGGACTGAATAAATGACAGATTTACTCACAAGTGACTGAGTAGCTGGCTAGCTGATCACTCAACTGATAAGCTGATTGACCAAAGTAAAAGCCAACAGACTTCTTAGCATACCTAAGGAGTAATGTTCTCCCTGACCTACCTGAGTGATAGGCAAGATGTAAGAGTGCTGATTGGCTAACTGACCGAAATACCTAATATTTATGTGCAGATATTATTTGATTACTCAGCCAAAAGATAATAAAGTAACCACTTAAGTAATGTACCAAGCAACAACATCTACCTGCTTTTCTCTGTTTATACCTTTGCAAATTTAATCTTTTTGAATTTGGGACTGTAGGGTGGACAAAACAAGCTACTTGAGGAAGTCACCTTGGGCTCTAGGAACTTTAATTCTTCATTGTTTTCTGACATTATATTGACCAGATTATGAATCAATGGATTTTAAAAGAAACTGCTAGATAAATAAACAATAAAACAATCTTCATTTGCAGAAATAACATGTTTGAATAGCAAATCTGCTGTACAGTTACACTAAGTTAAAGGTAAGTAGGTAACAAGTATTGGTAAACATAACAGAACCTCTGTGGGCTGACCCCAATGAAATGTACAGCAAATATTTACTGCAGAGCATAGCAGTATAGGGGGGTTTGAGTTGAAATGGTTGGTCAGCTGCCTGGACTGATCTCCTTAAAGGTGAACATATATCCAGACACAACAATGCAGGGAGGGATTTCATTTAATACATGATGTATTTGTGTATGTGAGCATTAATGGCTGATACTTTTTGCCACTTGTGTAATGATCAGACAAGACTAGAGTGAGTGGTGAAAAAGATTTGAAGAAACAAGGAATTCAATTCAGTTTGAAGGCTTAGTGCTGGCGTAATTATACAAG